TGAAAATTTATTGCAAGAATCTAAAATAAAAATATTTAGAAGTTCAAATTTAAAAATAATCTGGCAATCTATTTTTTAAATTTGTATAAATAATACTTACTTGGTTCTTAAAAGACTAGTTACAAGAAAATAATAGCTATTCTATCTTGTTTCACTTGGAACAACTATACTAAAATACCTTTCATATATTATTTTTTGTTGATTATATAATTGCTCAATAAAATATTTGTTATTTGCATTTTTAAAGTATACAGCTAGTTGAATTGCTTTATCTATTGTACATTTTAAGTTAGTTGATTCTTTAAATACTTCATCTATACACAGGTTTAGCTGTTGAGCATAACAAGGGAGAAATATAATATCTCTATAATTTTGCCTTAATCTTTGCCTAGTATTGATATAAAATATATATATAATTAAATTAGAAACTAATATAAATCAAATAAAAATAAAAATACCTAGCAGCAGCATATGATCCTGTACTGTCTGTAACAATTACAATTATATTTATATTTATATTCTTTAATTCGTCAATCATATCTTCTGTTTTTTCTATTACTTTAAGATAGTTCTCTTTCTCTATACTAATATCTATTACTTTCCATATATAGAGTTTTCTCTCTGAAGTAACTATCATTATACTCATCAGCTATTCATTATTAATATTTGTCTATCCATCAAATGTAAGAGTAGTATCAACAAAATCTTCATAAAGAGCTTCATACATTTCTATATCATATTCTGAAATAGCAACTTTTAAAGATGATCTACTAAGAGTTTAACAATCTGGAAGTTTTATTAGAAGATTTAAGAAATTGAATAATTTATATGTTTCTAGTTTATTTATCCAATTAAAAGCCTAACTACAAGCAATAGTAAGCCTTAACAAAAGAATTTTAAATTTTTCATAATCTTCTTATGATAATAGATAAACAATATAATTGTCAAGTAGGCCAAAGTAAGAGAAGGATCATACAATAGTTTTTCGAGTAGATGATTGTGATGAAGTAGTTATAGTATCATATGATAAACCTGAAAAACATATTGATAAATATTTTATATATAGTAACTTAAATAAATTAAATTAACTTTTTCTTACTAGATTGTTTAGTTGATTCATTATTAGACAAGTCAAAAACTTTTTGCCTCTCTTCAGGAGTTGTATGTGCTATAAAATTTATACATTTTTTAAGATACCTAATAACTCTATCTTTTTTATTTAGAAAATATATTTTTTTTCTATCAATCTCACCCAATACATCAACACATGCTTTACAATAAACTTTATAATTACTTTTATTAATCTTTTCTCCTATACTTCTAATAATATAAGGTTTTAACAAATCTATTACTACTTTACAGTTTTTTTAAATTAGTAGCTATTTTAAAAAAAAATACCAATTTTATTAATATATTTATCTTTTTTTTAAAAATAAATTTTTTTAGCACTAAATACAAGTTTGTTTAGCAGAGTATAGTTTGTTAATTATTAATAAACATGAATTATTTATCATTATTAAAAAATTTAAAACATAAAAAGGTAAACCCAACTAATAAGGTTTATATTATCGTATCAAAATTCTGATAAACAGAATCCAAAGATAATCTAATGCAGGCTAACTTGTTAGGATTTTGATCTTACAATTAACCCAAATTTATTATTACTCTATTCATTTAGATTTTGTGCATTATTCATAAGAAAACAGATAAAGCTTTAGCTTTGCATCATATGTTGCATGCATTATTAGCTCAATTAATCAGTTATCACTCTTAGTTTGGATTAAATCCTAACAAACAGGATCTATTATTACTTTATTCATTTAGGCTTTATGCATTATCACATTATCACTCTATTTATTTGAGCTTTGTTTAAATATGCATAATTTTTGAACACAATATGTAGACATTTGGATATTGTCTGATATAGTAATTTGAACTAAGAAAAAATTCCTTAATCAGGTAACTGAACTGAAATATTTAATATCAACTGATTGCAACTGATTAAGATTACTTCATATTTTACTTTTGTAAGTTCTCAGACCTTTATTCAAATTTTTATATTCATTCATTTTCTTTTTAGAAGTTCTCAGACCCTTTGCTCCTTCTTGATATCATTTACATTCTGTTAACTAATTACTGATACTCAACTGGTTGTACAAGTTAACTGATTAAAAATTTAATCAACCAGTTACCAAAATTTATTTAATTCAGGTCAGTTAACTGATTATAGCTCAACCAGTTTAAATCACTAGTCTGATAGCACAGAAAATCTGAGACAATATTCGAATTTCAAGCAATAAGACAATGCTATATTAGCATGTTTAATTTAGCTAGGTTTGATCAATTTATGATTTTTTGTGTTTCTATGATTACAACATTAGTAATTATTATATTTTGTAGGATCTAAGAATAAATTACATAAGATTATTTTTGCTTATCTGTATAAAATATTAACAATTTTTTTAATACGATTACAACATATGCATTAATTACCAATACATAGACATAATTAGTATTGTTACATAGATACAAACTGGACATCTATATCCAAAGTAAGATGATATTGTCTGACAATCAACCTATCAAATTCAATAATCCGCTTTATATGTAAAATATATTACAGTATATACTAATAAATTTTATTTATATATTATTACTATAAATATTTAATTTTACATATTTGTCTTATACAGTAATGAACTCAACTATTGATATAGCATGACTTCATACTTGACCTTTTATTCTTTTCGTCTTGAGATTCCAAGTTTTATTATACAATGAAGCAAAAAAAAATATTAGCTTAACGATTAAAGCAAAAACAGAAAAAGAAATACAAATAAAAAAAAATAAACAAGAAAAAAAAAACTAGAAACTAGTATATTTATACTAGTACTATATTCTCTCTAGCATTACCAACTCTATTTATATTCTCTAGTAACTTACAAGATAAAGGAGTAGTAGTTAGAAAATAAAAGAAAAGAGAAATATGAAAACATAAAAACAAGAAAGTAGAAATTAGCATACTTATTTTATATATTATATTTTTTTTCTGAGTTCAGATCTCTAGTACTGACTCTATTTACGTTCTGCTGTGACTTACAAGAGAAAAAAAGTAGTAGTTAAAGAATTGTTATCAAATGAGTTTTAGTAATTTTATCTTTATTTTATATTTATTAATTAGTTATTCTTTATTTGTATTTTAT